TGGCAATAAGTAGTCCACATCTCCTTATGACTTTCTGACCCCTTGGACGTTTCAGTTCAACTGTAGCTCGCAGCCAGGTGTGGGGTAGTCATCCCCGTATAGATCTATACACTCAAGTCACGTTCTCCCTCCAGGAGATTCTAATTATGGGGGCGGTCCTCCACTCACATATCTCTGTGGAGTGTTACCGAGGACTTGTCTCCAATTTATAGGAATAACAAATTTACTAGTAATAATATAGAAAGGTACTGATGCAAACGATGATCCTCCACTCGGATATCTCTGAGGAGTGTTACCGAGGACAAAACAATGTACTAGGTTTCATGTTTCAAGTTCAAAGGTTATGCTTTTAACTGATATAATGTGGAAAACCATTTGTGAAAATATAAAATACAACATTTTATAATGTTTTTCACAAATAATACGATAGTGTGTTCTGCGAGTTCAAATTGTTATCTGTTTTGATTATCAGTGTTAAATGCATATGAATTATGGAATGCAACACATGTAAAAACAAGTTTAAAGTACAAGTATTCCTTGTACTTTGCTTGTATTCCCCCTGAAAACAGTGAAAAACTTTGAAAAGAGTAGGGGTATGAACTCACCGCTTAATGTAGGGTTCGAGTGTCAACGGATGCCCTGAACGCCTATGGCCCCTATTATTCATGTGACGACACATAATGAGTTAGAACTAAGGTGTTTCATGACTAAACATGATGGGAAAACATCCTTAGGGCTTGGAATTACTAAGAATAAGTGTCCTATGATCCATACTTAATGATTTATGCAAGTTTAGGGCCAAATATGGGCATTAAAGTGAGTGTATGGTCTTGAAAATGAGTGTGCGGCTGGGGAGTGCGGCCAGGAGTGTGTGTGAGGTACCACACAAGAGTGTGCAGCCGTACGGAGGGTGTGTGTGGCCGTACACAGGAGTGTGCGGCCGTACACTCCTCATTTGAGTCCATATGATGATTTTGAAGTGTTTGTTCTTCACACTTGGGAGATTTGAATGTATGCTGCCCCCATGTGAAGGTGTGCGGCCGTACACCTTCAAGGGATGATGAACATGATGAATTTTATGCTTGGGATTCAAGTGTTTACCACTATACTTAGCTTGAAGATGGAGTATATCACAATTATGAAGCCTTCCAAGTGTTCTTGGTTGATCATTTTAGAGAGAGAAAGTAGAGAGAGGGAAGAGAAACATCCAAATAAATGAATGAAAGGGTATCCATCCATATAAGGGATTGATTGTGAGTTTGAGGGTGAGTGCGGTTGGGTGTGCGGCCGTATACACAGGTGTGTGGCCGCACACACCTTATTTGGTGTGTTTGGCCCGATTTTGTGATACTAAAGCACTTTCCAACCCTTCCTAGGACTTATATCCAGGTTATACTAAGTCTAGAGCACCCATATGGAACCACATGACGTAACAAAAGACAATGAACTCAAGTTTTAGTGCTGAAACTTAGTTCAATTACATGGTTAGAAGTTTCGGGTTGTCACATTATCCCCCCGTTAGAGGGAATTTCATCCCGAAATTCAGAGTTAAGATACAAATCATGGATTTGGAAAGAGATGTGGATACTTCTGTTTCATTGAGTCTTCACTCTCCCAAGTGAATACCGGTCCTCGCTTGGCATTCTAACGAACCTTCACTATCGGGATGCGATTTTGTTTCGTGCATTTGATCTCTCGATCCTTTATTTCGATTAGTTCTTCCACAAAGTTCAGGTTCTCATTGATCTCGATTTCATCAAGAGGGATCACAAGAATTTCTTTGGATAAACACTTCTTAAGATTAGAGATGTGAAAGACGGGATGAATGTTGCTGAGTTCATGGGGCAATCGGAGTTTGTAGGTTACTGGACCGATCCTGGCGAGGATCTCGAAGGGTCCAATGTACCTCGGATTAAGATTCCCATGTTTCCTAAAGCGTATCATGCCTTTCTAGGGCGAGACCTTCAACAAGACACGGTCTCCAACCTGGAACTCCAGAGATTTTCGTCGGGTATCAGCGTAACTCTTCTGTCGGTCTCGTGAAGCTTTCAGTCGTTCTCGGATCTGGATGATTTTCTCGGTGGTTTCACGGATGATTTCAGGACCAGTGAGAGCACTATCGGGAAATCGACTCTTGGCCAGCTGTGTGTCCCCTACCTCGACCCAGCACAGAGGGGATCTGCACTTGCAACCGTAGAGGGCCTCGAACAGAGCGGCCTTGATGTTTTTGTGGTAACTATTGTTGTACGACAACTCGATCAAAGGTAAATGTGTGTCCCAAGACTTTCTGAAAGCTTGGGATGTACTGGACGAGTTTCTTGTCAACTCAGTGATAGGGTAGCTCGACTAGTAGACAGGGTTTCTCCTGATTATTGATTTTGCATGTACTCGACGAGTTGCTTGGCAACTTAGTGAGCTGACCAAGATTTTTTCATGGTTCCGATTTCTAAGGAACGCGAAGAGTAGATGGGGGACATGACGAGTCGAAGTGAGTTGTCCTAAATCTGTTTATGGTGGAACTCGATGAGTCTGGGGAGTGACTCGACGATTTGACTTGTTCTGCCACGACTATGAGTAGAGAAGGAACTCAGCGAGTCAGGAGGATGACTCGGCGAGTTGAGTCAACTCGGTATGTTGAATTTGACTTTGACCAAGTGATAACTTTTACTTTGGCCAGGGGTAAAATGGTCATTAACCCTATGAAGGATAATTAGCTCATAACTAAGTTTTATGATGGTAATGATAGCTCGAGGAGTCAAGGGATCAGCAGTTAAGTGATCGGTCAGCTAGCAGCTAGAGGTTTATTCGTGGGACTCTGTAGTCAGCTTGTGAGGTGAGTTTTCTCTAGTAGGAACGGGTTGAAGGCACCGATGATGGACCGTTTATGTATGTTAGTGTATATCGGATTTAGATTCGATGTCGGGGTTACCCCATGTAGTTTATATGCTTCCGGATTACGATCCGATGATGAGAGGAGCCTGAAGAAGGTTTATATGTATTTTACCGAACTACAGTTCGATGTTGGGTGGTACCTGAGGAAGGAATGCAGGATTAGTTATACTTGTTGTTTGGTGCGACTTCGGCTCCGACCACCTTCGCTGAGAATGTGCTTCTACGCCGGAGACAGATCTGCGAGGTCACAACAGACAAGGTCGTTAGATATGCCCCAAGGACTGTGCCCTGGGAATGGACTCCGATGATCAAGTTAGATCAGAGTATAGATATAAGATGGTTCTCCTTAGCTGGAGAGGACTAGCTTGGTGCTGTTAGTGGTGTATGGTGGCTGACGGCGGAAGGTGGCAGCTGAGCTACCCAGCCGGAGTCTAGGACGGCGATTGATCCGTCGAGGAAGATCTAGTGGTGGCTGAGCCACTTGGGGAAGAGTTCTCTTTCATGGAGGAGGTAATATTCTATTTGTAGTGTTCAATTAGGTCAAGGGGAATTAGGTCAGGCCTTGGGCCAGCCCAATTCAGGCCCAACTAGCATGGAGCTGGGCAAGGCCGCCCGAAGGCGTCGGGCGAGGCTGGCGGGTGCGCACCAGGAGAGGCCAGAAAGGGTACGCAAGGCAAGGGAGCGCTAAGGCGGGCCGGTAGAAGAGTCCTCAACAGGACTGACAAGGGATTCCCTAGCAAGGCTGGCAAGGGAACGTCAGGAAGGGCTGGCAGGAGCGCACCAAGCAAGGATGGCGTGCTAGAGTAGTCTAGGCCATGCTAATGGACCATATATTATCAAGTCCCCCCAATATATTTTTATTGGCACGTGGCCAATGACATCGTTCCGGACTTAGTCATATAAACCATGTGTCGTCAAGTTAGTAAGGGAGCGCCAGGCGAGGCGGGTGCGCCAGAGCTATCTAGGCCATGCTAATGGACCATATATCATCATTGTCATTGTCATACTTGTATATGCCTAGTAGGGAGATAAGTGTGGGTGGGGGCCCGTATCTCATATCTTATTAGTAGCAGAGTAGGGGCGGGGCCCAAGATAGGTGGGGCCTTAAGACTAGTAGTTATAGTGATGTGTTTTCCTGTTATGTACTAGCTTGATTATGATTATATGTTTGCATTTGTATAGCGTGGTGGGCCCAGAGACAGGCATGACCTAGTAGAAACAGATCTCTATATCGAGAGGGGCACAATGCCAGACGGGGCCTGATATCGGATTCATTTAATGTCGGGTGGGGCACGAGGTAGCGGACTAGGCCTAATGTTTGCAGTATGTAATTATGTTTATGGTATGTGGTAGTTTGGGAAGACTCACTAAAACGAAAATTTTTAACTATATTTTTGGGATGTTTCATCGACCTACTAACATTAATCATAGACTGTAAGAGGCCGTGTAAGCCTATTTTTACAAGAGTAATATATATATATATATATATATATATATATTATATATATATATATATATATATATGTATATATATATATATATATATATATATATATATATATATATATATTTATATAAGTCCCTAAACTCGGATCTATCAAAGCATCAATGCGATCGTTTGATTTAATGCGAAATTTTAATTAAACAATGATATGAAACAATCAATTATATATATATATATATATATATATATATATATATATATATATATATATATATATATATATATATATATATATATATATATATATATCAATAGCACGTTTCAATAACATGAATTCACACCCTATATATATACGAAACCGATAATCTAAAGCCCATATATGAAAACCCCATCGAGAAAACACTAAGCCCATCGGAATCAATAAGTGATTTCGGTCAAAAGCTGAGAACAACATAATACAATCAAAACAAAGCATAAACCACTAAATAGAGCCCAATAATATCCCCCTTGGTTTATTGCTTTTTTGTTCTCTTCAAGGCTTCTCTAGAAGATGTACATCTGCTTGGTCAAAATCCCATGTGAACAGTTTCTTGTCAATAATTGTAGCCACCATTCCACTGAAAGCTTTTACAACAGCTTCAAATAGTTCATTCTCTATGATAATCTAAAAGTTTGATAAAAAATGGATATCATGTTCTCTAAACTTCAACAAATCTTTGGGATCAACAACACGAAACTGGTTTTTCTTCAGCTTGATCACCACCATTACAGTAGCCTCATCATAAACCCAATATTGTATTGTATCCAAACTGCCTTCAGGTAAGCATTTGGGAAGACGAATCCTTTTGGCTTGCTTTGTGGGTGGCCACATGACATTCACCATTGTTTTGTTTGTGCATGGATCAATGACACCCTTGGCCTTCTTAGTGAACAATGAAGTAGTCTTTAAATCTTCAAAGTTATTTTTCGATTTAATCTCAAGAAAATTCTTAAAGGACAATGCCATGGTATCATTGGTTAGATTGTGGAAAGGTGCGTGGATGAGTTCTGAAAGGTCAACTTTTGTCCAGGACAAGAAGTCGACTTCCTTCTTGTAATATTTCATTCTTTCACTTTTTTGCTTGATGATCCACATCTACTTATTAGCATCGTATGCCCACATGATGATGTTGGAATAGTGTCTAAGGCTGCAACTATATTATGCAAGTATTTGACCCGATTGTGCATGGTCCTTTTGGGTTGCCTTCACCATAGCAACTTGGTAGGATGATTTAATATGAGAGAATGGATATTATTAATATATTATGAGAATAATATAATGAATAATAATATTATTTGATTAATATAAGTCATAGATTAATTAGTATTAATTTGGTGACTTAAAGAGATTAATTAAATAAGAGGGTATAAACTGTCAATTGTTTGATAGTTACACTTTAGGCTGTAAATCCTTAAGGGATATGGGTTGGACGAATTCTAGGGCTTGGGATACCTCAAATTCGTCCATGGCTTATCTGGAAGGATTAGGATTGCTTAGAGTCTAAGTTATCCAATTAGGGTTTAAGGGTGAAACCCTAGGAGCCTTACAAGTATAAATAGACCCCTTGGGATAGGGAAATCGGCACCTCCTCTACAGCAAGGATACCCTGGCCGATTTCCTCCTCTCTCCTCTCTCTCAAATCATTCTCTTTGCTAGTTGGTGTTTGTAAGCCATTAGAGGAGTGACAATTGTGACTCTAAAGCTCCAAGAACAAGAAGATCAAACAAGTGTTTCAAGGTATGCTTCTAACTCTGGTTTTGTATTGTTCTTATACCTAATTAGCCATTAGGAGTCTTGGATTCAATGCATGTTTAATTAGAGAAACCTAGATCCAAGCATTAGGGTTTGTATGCGCACATAGGAATGTTCTTATGTACAAAACCCATCAGTGGTATCAGAGCCTAGATTGGTTTCTATTAAATTGATGCTTAATTGTTTGAATGTTAACTGCAAAATTCGATTTTTGTGTTTCTGAGTCATGGACTCGGCGAGTCCCATAGTGGACTCGGCGAGTTGGCCTGACTCGGCGAGTCCAGTTTGGGTACTCGGCGAGTCCGAGCGTCAGGAAGAGCCAAAACGGGATTTTTTCATATTTATCTTATGGAAACTTACCTTTATCATATTAGATCAACCCAAATCCGATTTTATGATATATATGACTATATTTTTGATCTAATTGAAGATATTTATCAATTAATAAAATATTTAATTTCCTTATATGATAATTATTAATTATTTTGATTAAATTGGTAAATTGTTTTTCAAGAAATCATAAATAAATCAAATATGGATAATTATGTGATTAATTGTTAATTTGAATTATTTGTTATTTGATCCTTTATGTTTTAAATGTTTAAAACTTGCCCTCAAGTTTTGAAATTTATGTTTTGTGATTAAAAGTTTAATTTAGACAATTTAAATTTCAAACCCTAGAATTTTACAAGTTTAAAATCCAACCCTATACTAATATAATATTACAAGATTAATATCTATATATGTATAACTTAAATGCTAGTCTTACCGTTAGTAGGCCTCATTCACGAAGCCGGTCTATAAGGTGGGTATAAGGTTGCGGCCTATAAAATGGCGCTTAATGGGTGTACACTCACACCCACCGCTTGCTTGATCGGTGGAGGGTCGTTAGCCGAACGGGTAGGATAGGGCAACCTCATCCTCTCATTAAAAGTATAATAAGAAATACAAAGTAACTACATGTTTTCTTAAAATTTCCCAATCTTAGTTACTTTAGGAAAAGTGAATTGATGCAATCCCATGAAATTACACTTTGCACCTTGCTAAGAAGTTAGTGGAGCGTGTGTGGTTTACCGGCACACTAATTGGTTCTAAGCGAAGGTGGCAAAGGGTGATTCATTGTTTATCATAGTTCGATGGAGCGTGTGTGGTTTACCGGCACATCGAATAGGTGATCGTTACAATGAAGGCACCATGTGAATTTGCATGGTAATTCACACCCGCTTTGTGATCCTCGGTATCCCAGTCACAAACAAGAGGGGCATATCGAGATTTAAACATGCCATTGAAAAGTTTCAATGAATCTCATCCGAACCTAGGAATTCTCAATACATTTAGGACTTAAAGTTATGTTTTTCATGGTGGAGAATTAGTGAATCGTCATTCACTTACCTTCAAATTGTTTGCATATTAGATTACGCATCCCTTTTCTAATGTGTAAATATTGTTGTTGGATCCTAGCCCTAATTTTTCTTATTGGGTGATAATTAGGGATTCACATTCTAATCAATCTTTGTCCTTTCTATTGTAGATGTCGAACGCTAACAACGCTGCTGCTAGTTCATTCACTTTGATGAGCCTTTGTCAAAAGGTCACCTTTGATGGAACGAACTTTAGCGAATGGATAAGATACATTCGCACGATTGCTCGCTATGAGGATAAGGAGTATGTCCTCGATGAGAAGCTCGAGAAAATCAACCCGAAATCGCTACTCCCAAATGACCGCTTTTGAAACTCACGAGCGTGATGCAACGAAGTACATTGCATCATGATCGCAACTATGAACTCCGAATTCCAAAAGTCCTACGAGGACATGTATCCGTACGAAATGCACCAAGACTTATTGGAGAGATACCATCAAAACGCGAGACAAGAGCGTTATGAGATTTTCACTAACATGATTTCCGCTAAGATGGGTCATGGAGAGTCTCTTACCGTGCACCTGCAAAAGATGCAAAGGTATGTCGACCGCCTTCGCAAGTTAAACGTTGACTTTGGGGAAGACTTGGCGATCGACATGGTGCTTCACTCTTTGCCTCCAAGCTACAATCAATTTAGGATGACCTATCACATGAACAAAGAAGAGGTCACCCTAAGCAAACTCCAAGGTCTCTTGAGGGTCGCTGAGAGCAACTTCAAGGACAAGTCTGTTGCACCAACTCCCAATCGCCCGCCGCTCCTGTCTTGGCAATTGGACAAGGAAAGGGAAAGAAGAGGAAGGCTTCGTCTAAGAACTATCGCAAGGTGAAAGCCCGAGATGGTGCCTCTTCTAGTGGGACCAAAGTTGATCCCGCTAAGCCTGCCCTAACCCGAAGGAGGCAGAGTGCCACCACTGCCACAAGATAGGACATTGGAAGAGAAGCTGCCCGGAGTACCTGCAAGCCATCAAGGAAGGAAAGATCAAGCCATCTTTCGCAGGTATATACACAATTAAATCTAACGATTCATCTCATGATATTTCTTGGGTTCTTGATACCGGTTGTGGTTACCACATTTGTTCTAATGTGCAGGGACTAAAGAAATAGAGACGTGGAGCATGGAAGAATAAATCTAATCATGGGGAACAGAAGATCGTCGCCTGTGACCAAGATTGGAGTGTATTCTTTAGTGCTTAGGAATGGTTTATCTTTAGATTTGAACAATTGTTGCTATTCGCCAGAAATGGCTAGAAACATCATTTCATTTCATGGTTTGTTTAGACAAGGTTTTAGATTTTCTTTTAATAATGAGAATGGTTCTATTTTAGCTTATTTGAATGGTGTCTTTTACTTTGAAGCTATACCATGTAATGGAATTTATGAAACTGTTATGATTGTTGATAACTTAGGAAATGATGTTTTATGCATGGATTCTTCCAATAGTATGGATAAGGCATCCTTATGGCATTGTCGTCTTGGACATGTCAACAAGAAACGCATAGCCCAACTCCAAAAGGATGGAGTGTTGGAGTCATTCGACCTTAGGGAAGATGACACATGCGAGTCTTGTTTACTTGGAAAGATGACTAAGTCACCCTTCGCTGGTACGTGCGAAAGGGGTGAGGGTCTATTGGACCTCATACATACCGATGTGTGTGGACCGTTTAGATCTACCACGAAGGATGGAAACCGCTTCTACGTGACTTTTACCGATGACTATAGTAGATATGGGTATATCTACTTAATCAAGCAAAAGTCAGAAACTTTTGAAAAGTTCAAAGAGTTCAAAATGAAGTGGAGAATCAATTGGGCAGGAAGATCAAGATGCTTCGATCCGATCGAGGAGGAGAGTACCTAAGTCTTGAATTCCACGATTATCTCAAGGAGTGTGGAATAGTTTCACAATTGACGCCACCTAGGACACCACAATTGAATGGTGTGGCAGAAAGGCGTAATCGAACCTTGTTGGACATGGTTCGCTCTATGATGAGTCGTGCTTCGCTATCTATCTCTTTTTGGGGGTATGCCTTAGAGACTGCCGCCCATATCCTTAACCGAGTCCCTACTAAGAAGGTTGCCAAAACACCTCACGAGATGTGGACGGGGAAAGCTCCTTCGTTAGCACATATCAAGGTTTGGGGTTGCGAGGCTTTCGTAAGACGAGATACTCACGACAAGCTCGAACCTCGTAGTGAGCGATGTATTTTCATCGGCTACCCGCAGAAATCCTTTGGATATCTCTTCTATAGACCGAAGGACAATGTTGTCTTTGTTGCGAGGAGAGGAGTTTTCCGAGAGCGAGAACTCATAGGCCAAGGAGACAGTGGGAGGCAAATCGATCTTGAAGAGATTCAAGAGTCGATAGATGAAGGAACCTCTACCGCTGGCGCTCAACCCGAGGAGGAAACTCCGGTTGAACCGATTGACGTATCATTACCTCTTAGACGTTCCGAAAGAGTTAGAGTTCAACCCCAGTTGTATGGTTTTCATATTACTACCGAAGGGGACACGTATATTAGTGATAGTACACTAATAAACCTTGATGAACCTAATAGCTATAAGGAAGCCATGGCAGGCCCGGAGTCTGCGAAATGGAAAGAGGCAATGGATAGCGAGATCCAATCCATGTATGATAACCAAGTTTGGAATTTGGTTGATAATGTGCCTGGACGTAAGACCGTTGGGTGCAAATGGATCTTCAAGAAGAAGACCGACGTGGATGGAAAGGTACACACGTATAAAGCGCGATTGGTTGCGAAGGGCTTTACTCAAACTCCCGGAGTTGACTATGAAGAGACCTTCTCACCAGTTGCGAAGATAAAATCTATTAGAGTGATGCTAGCTATTGCCGCATTTCATGATTATGAGATTTGGCAAATGGATGTCAAGACCGCT